ACTAAATATTATTAAAAAGTAAAGATATTTTGCGATGAATAATGAATTTGTATACTGGTGTTATTTGAAAATCTAATAAGGAAAGGTATACAAATATGTGTCGGTGATTTGAAAGAAAATGATTAGAGTTTGTTATGGAGCAGTTGCCTAATTCAAGTTTGTATATATAAACGGACATTGAAAAAAGAAAAACTCTTCTTTCTTTCAAACTTTTATCTACTTGTCAGCAATAACAACAACATCCGAGTCTTCATGTATCTATTATTTTATGTTTAAAGCTAGAAATTATATTTCTAAATCAAATCAAATAGAGCCCATATAGTCACACTCGCGTCTACTCTCTTTCTTTACTTATAACGTAAGATAGAACATGATGGCTCAACATTACATCATTTCCTTTTAATATAGTAATCAATAATGCTACGCACCGGTATGCATGATATAACTATAAAAAAGTGATGCTCTCGAATGGACTTAGACCATCAATAATCCGGATGACAGCCGGTTGCGTTTACTACTTACGCCATAGTAGTATTTAAAAACTATGAAAAATAAAAATCAATCTTCTACATAACTAATATATATTTTTATTCAACATACATCTCTGTATTCATCAACAAAAGATACAAAAAAAAGATTACAATTCAGCACAGCTGCATTGGTAAGAATCGTTTATGTAAAATTTATATTGTCTAGAATCCTTTGAAGCATTTATTACTTTGTGGTCGATTACACTTATCTGTAGAACAACAAGTAAGATTAAGAAGAAGTGTAGAATAAAAATCCGTTTGCATTGATTGACACATTTCTTCTGTAACTACATTGTAAGACCATTTGATTGCGCCTGTTGATTGTTCATCTTTACTGCAGGCTGTATCATTCTGCTCACAACGGAAGCGATACTTTACACATTGACATGTTTCATTTGCTGAACACTGTTCATTCAACCGAAGTAAAAAACATTCTCCGTCTGTACCCGTATAACATAGAAGCGATGTGCCAAAAGAAACTAAGAAACAAAGAGCAAAAATACAAAGCAAATGATGATGCATCATTGAAATAAGAGAATGAAACAATATGATCGCATTTTATATATCGTTGAACGTTGAATCGAACAAAGAAAATTATGTGACGTCATATGTTGAAACTGAAACAACGATAATTGGATGACCTCTCATAGAAAATTTCGAACCAATCATAAACAGAAAATTGTAATATAATAACTTTGTTTTAAGTCAACTGCCGTCTACACTGATAAAATAAATCAGCAATGCGAGTGAAAGATAACTCTCTTTGATGTAACATAAAATGCATAGTTTACGATGTTAGTGCACTCTGACGTGTTCACTTGATAAAAGTAGCGTTCATAAACCTTATTACAGATTAAATAGAGCATATTCTTGCGATAGTAAACCGTAATGTCTACAATTAATAAAAATATTTCATTATCCATCCCAGTTATTGACAAATGTGCATTTGTATTTAGAGTGATTATATCCATTGTTTACTAACAAAGATACTTTAATAAATAAGATTTGTTGATAAGGTATTGAGAACAAATTTCTCATAGGATATTATAGTTGTTGAACTTAAACATGAAAGTGTTTCATCATGTTCATGTTGAAACTGTCACTATTTCAATTTGCGGATTAACAAAAACAAAAGGATCCCATTTAACAATAATAATTATCTTCAGACGCATAGAGTCGCATATGAGAAGAAGAGTACAAAGTCTAGTTTCAAAACTTTGATATTGAATACTTGTGATGTATGATTCACTTCTTCATTTTTTTCAGATATGAAAATATTGTAAGTCAAGAGATTTTTTCATAAAATCATCAAATTAGTACTTTAATATTCATTATAATCTTTTATACCTTGAGTCTTGCTCAGTATATAAATTTCATCATATGAATGGCATTCAGTAGAAAAAAATTTTATATTCTACGTATATCGATTGACAATCAACAACAAAGAAAATAATAGTCTGAAAGTATGTGTTATTTTTTATATTCTATGGTATATGTTGTCAAGCGCAGAACACGTGTTTCTTCTCTATATACTCAATGTTGGTAGAAAAAGAAAAAAAATTATTTGCTTAAATACGATGATATTCGATAACAATACAAGTGAATCATTGTATTCACAAAATCCAGCAGAAATTTTATCAAATCTTTATTTATCTTCTTATAAACCAGCACAAGACTTGATTCTCTTGAAACAATTACAAATCAATTATATTCTCAATTTAACCGGTTATGAACATAATTCAAATAAACTTCGCTTCGAATTTGATTATCCACCTGAAATTACAGTTAAACATATTATAATGGCTGATGAAATGAAAGTTAAATTATCTGATCATTTAAATGAAGCAGTTGAGTTCATTCATAATAATATTCATAACAGTCCTTCTAATAAACTTCTTGTACATTGTGAAGCAGGAATTAGTCGTTCTCCTACGATAGTTATTGCATATTTAATGCGATATCATAATTACTCTCTTAAAACTGCCTATAATTATGTGAAACAACGAAAGAACAATATAGGTCCTCATGCTAGTTTTTTCGAACAATTAATTCAGTTTGAACAACAATACAAGAATACTCTTATACCATCAATATGTTTACATGATTATTTAATAGAACAAATGTTAGAAGGTGCAGCTGTTGGATTTACTCGCGATGAAATATCATTAGCATTAAAGAAAACAAATAATCAAGTTAATCAAGCATATAATTTATTATTTTCGAGTAGAAATTGACCTTTATACTCTTAAAATGGTTTTGATTATTTTGTTAAGTAATAAAATGTCTTTATACTGTAACTAAATTAATAGGAAAAAAACAGCACAGACATTAATAATAGATAAATGTCTAATAATTAGGTACACATGCATTTTTATACTTTTCATAAGGGTTTTGGTAATGAGTGAGAAGAATACACACACTCCCACCCTCATTCTCACCCTTAAGATAAAAGAGGATTTTGAATACATTGCTTAGCGGGAAATAATGTTCTCCAACAAACGTTTAACTATTTGAGACAATATAAAAATGCCAATCTGTCAAATGTATCGGTAAAAGTAAATATTTACACGCCAAAACAACCGTCAATTGTAGAAAAAAAATTCTTTTTGTTTTTTCCTTTTGAAGTACTAAAGAAAAAAAAGTAAAGAAAGAAAGTGATATTTTGCTTTCTATTTATTTATATTTACACAACAGAAATCCTTTTTTGGAGGAAGATTGGATAAAAATGTGGCCGGGTTGAGTTACAAATCTTTCACTCAATATTGTCATTTTTACGAAAGGGTGTGTAGGTGTGCGTGTATTTTCCTCATTCATTACCCACACCCACATCCTAGTCTACTGAGCATCTCTACTTTGCGAGTCTTTTGTAATTAATGTAAAAAGTAAATAATATTATTCATTATGAATCATATTTTATATGATTCACTTCTTATTTTTTTCTTATATATATATATGAAGTGGTTTTGAGTTATAAATTAAAAAAAA